ATTTATATATTATATCGTTCCAAAACATTAAATAGTTTTTTTTTCAGTTTTTCCAAACATTCTTAAATTAAAAGCTTCTCTAATCCAAAAAATGCTTTAAAAAAGGGATAAAAAATTCACCTCCAAATGATGCAAAAATTTTTCATTTTTTTTCAAATCAAACGTTGCAGCAAACAGTTCATCATATTCTTTTTTTAGTGGTCGTAACAAATACGGTACTGATACTGGTTTATATCTGAAAATGTCAATAAACCATCAAAAATACATTTCATTTCATATTGAGCAAAATGCAATGTAAATGAATAAAAGGAGCAAATTAATTAAAATCTTTCACTGAAATGTGAACCAAGACATAATAATTAAATTTCAAAAGTACATAATTGAAATACAAACCCGCCAATTAAATCACATGAATCTGAATGCTGGCTGAGATTTACAACTCTAAGAGTAGTGCCAATGCTATCTGCTAGTAGCTGTATAATGGCTGTTTTACCAACACCAGTTTCACCAACAAGCAATATTGGCTCCAGACGATTTACACAAACTGCTATCTGCTCCAACAGTCGACATACATTACGTGTGATACCAAAACGAGTAACTTTGCTGAAACTTCAAATTTTTAAAATAAAATCAACTTATCATAACTAATCATGGTAACATAAATTTATTAAACAATGCAGCAAATGATTCAGCATTGGATCACTGATAGAAATACTACAAATACAGTTTTAAATATAACAAAAGACAATACTGCATTCAATTCCTTATATAACTCTTCATAAACTCTTCTGTTTCTAATTTATGAATGGGTTAACCTAAGCCTTGCGTCATAACAATCCTATCGAGTATATGATATCAATATATCTCTCTTTATTTCGATATAAAAAACTTGTCTTATTACTTTGACTCTATATCCTTGAAGAATATCCTCATTTTCGGATTCCAACACATCTCCACTCCGTTACAGCATTTAATGGAACAATTTTTTTTTTTTGAAGTTCTAACTGTTTTAGGAACCGCAATATTTTTACCTCTCTCTTGTTGTTGCTATCCGATTCCTCTGCAGATTTACTCGACCACATTTCATACAGGTTTGTGTAACTGAAATTTCAGGCAATCGAAGATTCAAATGATACATCAGTTGTTCATGATTCAGAGATAAACTGCTCGCAATTATTTCCGACAATGAAAAAACATCTTCCTGTCGGCGGCAGTGAACTGTCCAACAGTCGATCAATTCATGAAAAACAGCCACTGAGTCGGATAGATCATTCAAGTCATTGACACGTTTACAGGCTTTCAATAAATCTCTGTAAAAACTCATCATAATACATCTTAATTCTTTGAGGGAGTAGATAAAATTTAACTGGTGTTATTTTAAAAACAAATTAAAATCAGTGAAGAAACCTACGTCGCTCCCAATTTCCTGCCATTCAACTGGTTGATTGGGCTGTTAATAAGTTCATCGAATAGAGTTAACAATTTTTGAGCAATTGGAGCAACCCTTTTGCATAAAATGCAAATAGCACGATGAAGTTCGTTATTTGTAAATGGTGGCAACCAAATTTGGAAAGGTATGGAAGTAAGTAACAATTCAATATCAGCTGATCGGAAACTTCTTTCTCGCTTTGTACACCTGAAGATTTAATTGTTAGATGATTTGTCTACTTTTCAATGCTTGTTGATAATGATAGTAATATGGTCAATTTAAAATCAACTCAAGAAGTTTATAAAAAAATATTTTTAAAAAATTAGAGAAAAAATCTTACAGTTTCTGCAACTATTACGTTTATCTCAATACTTTATAGCTTATTTATTTCCTAACAATTCTGCATCAAAACTGACCTCATCGTAACAATAATATAAGCTTCATTATGCATTCGTATTGTTTCACCGGAAGTTAGTTGCACTTCACGACTATTACATAAGTTGATTATTTGTGATATTAAATCCGACGAAGCACAATCGATATCTTCCAAAAGTATGATTCCCTTATCAAGAATATACTGAAAGATCCAAAATTTTACATGGAAACGCCGAATTACTCAAAAATTGACCACAAAACTAACATCTTATTATAAAATCAGCTGTTATATACATCTCATTCCCAACAAACTTCATGTTACATAATGGTTTCTCTCTACCTTAAAAGAAAGATAATATTGCTAGTTATCCATTTAATCTACTTTTAAATGGTAAAATCACTGTTGTCCTTACATTCATTAGAATTTCTTGGAAAGAATTATAAGACGTATTTGTTAGTGAATGAAATTATAGAATACGACTGTTGTCTGCAAATCAATAATTTTATTTGCGCAGTCATTCTAATGCAAGTACTCAAAATCAAGTAGAACCTTATTTCGACTGCTTGTTAAGCACATTGTCCTTCACAACAAATACATAAAAATTCTAATCTCTCTGGGATCTCATGCATAAAATACTGGAATGTAAGATGAAACTAAGCATCACAACTCCATCATCCATCAAATAATTGACACCGTTTGTGGAAGCAATAAATATATATTTTATTAGAAGCAAATCTTACTTTCGTGAAGGTGCTTTGTTTCCAGCAAAATTCACCAGGTACATCCAAGCAATGAAATGCTCCAAACAAAGTTTTTGAATCAATTTGTTCACCCATTTGTACAATTCGGCATGGTAACTTCATACTACGTGCAACCTCCCTCACTATCGATGTTTTACCACAACCGATTGGCCCCTAGATTTTATGTGTTTCAACGATAAATGAGTCAGATGATCAGTATGCAAGAAATAAGTTCAAAAGAAATTAGCTCAATTGGGATGATTCTAAGATTTGGAGAAAATTCCACAGTAAATTAAATTATCAGAAACTTATTTCTACACATTAATAAATTTATGAATCTGTATATGATGAATTCATTGCTGATGTAGACCAGTACAATCTTACACATTATCTGATATGAACGGACGAATACAAGACAAATTGAATTGAACGTTATTTTAATATAACTGTCTGTATTTTGAATGTTTTAACGACTATTTGTGATAGTGTCGGCGTACCATTTCTCAATCACTATCATTCCTCCGTCAAAAGGCAATTAAAACTGGTAAGAAAAATCAAAAACTGTTATATATAAGATTCCTTATTTTTAAGTTCTTCTAAAATTGACCTTGCGGATTAATCATTAGATTTTTAATGATTTTTATTTTTAAAATCGTAAAAAGGTCCAATAGTATGTGGAGACTTTTGTAACAGTGATATAATAGTAATTTAAAAAACCTACTTGTAAAAGGACAAGCAGATGGTTCCTGAATCCAATCTCCAGTTGTTCACGATAGACAGCCCTAGTAGGCATAGTATCTGGTATAAAATCATAGGCAACAGATTCAGCTCCTTCCGATTCTTCGCTTCTTGTTATTTTCTCAGGTTTTATAACTCTCGTTTCATTAACAAGCAATTTTCGTTTCTGTCTTCTTGTCTTTTTTACTTTCATTCTCTATCTGAAGTAATGGAAACATAGAACTGCATGCTTAATCAACAACAATTTTGTTCACACCCTATTTCAATTACCAAGAAATATATACATAAGCCAAATTTTACTTTAAATCTCGATAAATGAATTCAACATTTGACATGAGATTTAGCGATATCTTCGTCTCTTAGATAATCATAATGACGTATCATTTACCAACGTTAAAACTATTTAGCATTAACAAAAAGAAGTGGGTTTATTTAGCAAAATTTATCAAATCGACAAGTTTTTTACAAACAGTTCTTTATATCACATAACAAATGAAATGACACGAGACTGACAGGAAAATAAAAATTAGAAACATTTGTATACCAGATTTAGCAAAACGAAAAATGCGACGTACAATAAAAAGCGGAGCTAATCATCATAATTTATCACTTGTTCACCTAGATATTGTACTTTTGCAGACACTGACGCAATCCATGCCCCAATTTTATCTTGCAATACTCCCCTTTACTTTTCATATTACCTAAAAGTACCCCTTTCCGGTACATTTTTCCAACAATAGATTAAAGACTTTTAAAGCCCAAGAACTTGTATATTCATGTCATTTTACTTGGTATCTGCATTATATATAACGTTCCAACCAAACGGCATGTAAAAAAATGCTGGAAATACGAAGTATTCATCATTATCCCAACAAGTCAACAAACAATAATTATATAAAAAATTGTATTTGAGATCATCTATAAAGAGTCAATTCATTAATACAATAGTTGAAATCAACAATGAAATTTATGTGATCGGTGGTAAATGGCAAACAATACCACTCGTATCAATTGCTGAATAAAAGAATACATTTCGAAGAGGATCATCCTTCTGTGAAAGTGCCTGAAACTCAATCTCTCTTAAAAAATAAATGCCAAAAATTCAAACTTCGCAAATATGTTTGCAAAAATTTAAGAATATTATTGGAACAATCTTGATTTTCAACAAAAACACTATACAAGTATAAATACTAGATTATGTCGAAAATAAACAAGTTGAGAGGACACTGCTAGTAGTCACTCCCGGAGAAGCAA